CAGTTATAACCATGAAGCCATTCATGACTTAGCCATGACCAAAAAAAAAGACTTTTCGGCTGAACTGCAGGCACAATAGGAGTCAGGTATGGGAAGAAATTAAAACATGTAAGCGCTGATAATATGTAGAGCTACCATTGTTTCTAGTATTGGTAAAACCTGTGTGCAGTTACAAAAGTGTTTCATCAGTTTTTCTAAAATAACTCCGAGGTGCCAGTATCACATTTACCGCCTTCCTTTCCTTGGCGTGTTTCCGTCAACGACAGGAGAACTTTCTTGGTCATACCACCACTGATGTGAGCGGTTTGAAATATGAGAAAACATAATCCAATCGCAGAGCTGCAGTTTTCGCTCTAAAGCTGTAAACGTCTAACTCCGGTCCAACAGTGCCTTCCTAACTGGCAGGAAGAGCCGCAGCGATTCCTTGCCTGGAGGTGGTGTCAACGTGCAATTTCTACAGGCAAAGAAGATTAACAGCTTTTGGTGTTTTGACATGTGAGCCACCCGCTTACAATGTGCAATCTCAATTGTTTCTTTTCTGGTTTTTTTATTTATATATTTATGTCTGCGGGGTTGGTTCTGCTCTGCATGTATCTTCCAGCGCTGCATATTTTAGAGAGGGATGGAGGAAGATCCAACGGGAAAAACAAAACACAGTATTGTGGGATGCCGAGCTCACAAGAAAGCAGTCGAACATTAAAGTAGAGGAAAGTAGAAGAGGCAGTCTGTAGCATTTATGGGGATGTGTAGTCGCTTTCTGGGTGTTTTTTTTTTTTGCTTGTGTTAGATTTTTATTTACTGTGGGATAATTTTTGACTGCAAGATAAGGAAAGAGAACACAAACCTGTTGTCTATGCAGGATAACAACATTATAATGGCATAAACCATAAACATCCATCCATCATCTATACACCGCTTAGCCTCACCAGGGTCATGGGCGGCTGGAGTCTATCCCAGCTGACTCAGGGTGAAGGCAGGTTCACCTGGACAGGTAACCAGTCTATCACAGGGCTACACTTAGAGACAGACAACCAAGCACACTCACATTCACACCTACGGACAATTTACAATCACCAATTAACCTCAACATGTTTCTGGACTGTGTGGGAGGAAGCTGGAGAACCCGGAGAGAACCCACGCAGAACATGAAGACTCCATGCAGGTGTCCTCACCGGGACACGAACCGGCGACCTTTTCGCTGCGAGGCAACGATGCTAACCACCGCTCCACCTTGCAGCCCTGGGATAACCGTATACAACAAGTGCCCACAGGTGTCACCAGTACTAGACAAAAGTAGTGGCACACTTATCTCTTGTGCAACCCAGTTTGGCTAAACATCCCCTGTTTTTTTGACCCTTGGTTGCAGCTTCTCATAGCTTCTTGATGCGATGAGACTTACAAAATCTATTGGTTTGTTTAGAGAATCTGGTCATGTCAAGCTGATTATTTAGGACATTTATGTTTAGATTTGGTCATGTCAAGGACCATCAGGAAGTTGAAAATTAAAATAATTATTTTCCCTTTTTGTCGTTGCTTGATAATAAATGCACCTTTTTCAAATCCTCTGGTGGATTCTGGGGTTAAGACTGTTAATCTATTAATATATACAGTCGTGACACTAAATGTAAAACCTTCTTTTATGTCGGATATCAAGGCTGTCGGATTGTCAAGACGGAGGTCGAGATACAAGGAGGGCTTGATGCTGGAAGGCTCATTTGTTGTTAATATTCATTGTTTATAGTTGTTATAAATAGTGCATTGTTGGAAAACTACGCATCGCTGGATTTCACGCCCAACTGACCGGTGCGCTTGTGCACGGGCCCGTCGGTTGACGTCACAGGTAAGTAAATCTGTGGGATTGTTCAGTCAGATAATACGCCGTTATCCTTATTTGTGACATAAAATGTCATGTTGGAGTCGGAATCCAAGGCTGTCAGTATGTTAAGGCTGTTTTTTTATGGGTTTGTTCTTCCTAAAAACCTGTCGGATAGCAAGGTTTTGGATCGTTAAGGGTCGAAGTA